TATCAAATAAAGATATGTAACATATGTAATTAAAAGCAATCCATTAATTAAATCAGACAAATTATTATCCAACAACGATTTCTATTAAATTAAGTGTTTATTTTACACTTCGCTCGGGTTCGCATCTAGTATAACAAAAACCTATCCCACGAAAACCGTATATTTTTCCGGGATAAATAGTCGTCGATGTGTTATTCCAGACTACGAGTATAATCTATCTCTGTGCCAAATTTCATCTAGATCCTTTCAGCTGTTCTGGCGTGAAAGAGTAACAAACATCCATACATACTCACAAACTTTCACATTTATAATATTTATACAGATGAAATATGTAAATTCAACTTGTAACAGCATAAAGTGGATCTGTATTTTATGCACTTTATTTAGGTACATTGCGGACAGGAAGTACGGATCGGTGCGCCGGCCGTGCAGCCTGTGTCCAGCTATGACCGGCCACCTTGTACTAAATAATCACATAATAATTACTTTTTAACTCAAAATATATCTATTTATCAAAATTATTTTACAAAAGTCAAAAATAGTTCCTCCTTTAAAGCTACAAAAGGCGCTAAATGTAGCAAAAATATTACCACTACTTCGAAAATATCTGATTAGGTATCTATTCTAAATGAAAACCCCCGTTTAGTTATTTATATATACATATTATTTATTAGTTATTTGTATATATATTACTTTGTCGATTTAAAAAAAAACCGCTCGACCGATTTCATAAAATTTAAATGGGACCACCTCGGAAGTATAACCTTTGAATCAAAAAATATTTCTAAATCGGTTCAGGCGTCTTCGAGTAATCGGTGAACATAATCCGTGAACATACATAAAAAAAGATTCCGTCAAATGGAGAACCTCCTCCTTTTTGGAAGTCGGTTGAAAAGTAACTACTATATTTAATGACACTATATCTCAATATAATGTTGCAGGTATAAAGGATTGAAATTAGATGAAAAATGGGTACAATGTCAGAAGCTATTTGCAATAAAATTAGTCGCGCACGCATACCTCGTGATCCACTATTGCAATATTTGTTAACAGATGAGTTTATACATCAGTAAATCGATCTCTCGTTTTGTTCTTAATCGATGTAAGGAATGGGCCCGTTTTCTAATTCTGTGATTTGTTTTAACTATACAATAAATTTAAACAGTCGGTTTGTACTAAATTAGTAGATTTCTTAGTATTTATAGAACACATTGTTACATTTGTTTTTATGTTGTTTTCAAAAAGATTATTTATCTCGTCTTCCAACGTAATAATTTTTAGTCATTGATGTATCCTAGAACTATATTAATTATATGAATAAATCTTCGCACCTTTTGGCTAAGATATTGATTTGAATATTAATGACAGCTTCGTTTGTGGTAAAGGTTAATTAATTTGTCACGCTTGTCTTCTATTTTTAAAAGTTCGAGGACATAAATTATGATATAATAATCGATCTATCGAATTGATCATAAATTAAAATCGATGTGATTTTTTTGAACTTTCAAATCACAGCCTATTTTTTTATGTATTTGTTTGCTTATTATAAGTTAATTTTAAAGGTAAAAACAAATACTAACATTTGCGCACAAATAGCATAATTTCTCACGGATCCACGTGTAATGTAACATTAGGAAACGGAAGTACGCTTCGGTTCCCGCGCAATTGTCACCCGGCGACGCGCGACGTGACAAATTTTATTAGTTTTGCGTTGTACATTGATAGCATCGCAAATAACAAAGGCACTGAAGGTCTGAGCTAGGGTGGAAAATCAGAAAACTTTTACCTAGCCGTTTGTTATATAACGTATTACATCTGTCATACATTTACGCATTCTTATAGTTCAGATTCTAAATTCTTATGTAACATGTAAGATTTTAAAAGACTTCCAATAAAAATTATATCTACCTACTAATTTAGTTTTTTTTTGTTTTTAGTATCCTCGTCAGAACGACAGGGCGTTGATTAGAATTTATGGTAGGCTGTGGGACTTCGTAAATATGCCAAAAAACTCTTCTTAATTACTATCTAATAAGTACAGATTTAGTATTAATTGGAAAAACGTCAAGTTATAACTTAGAAAGCTATGTAAAAACAAATTAAGAATGTTGTATAGATTATATTTCCGAAATTATAACTATCTATAATTATTCTCAAACAAATAAAATAACAGTTAAAGCCCTTACATATGTTTTTCTTGACTCTATTTACGCCTGAGTCACCCTAAACCCGCGCGCTAGTTTTACTGCCCAAAGTTAGGTGTTAAAGTAAAAATTTTGGTTTTGTTAATTTAACCGTAATCGAGTTTATGATATCTTACATGAAGTGCTCTTACATGAATATTAAAGCAGACTTTCTCTGACGCATTCGAATACTGTAACAACTTTTTCACTTTCCGCGCGTGCTATTATTAAAAAATTGTTTCCTATAACCATTGTTACTAAAGCCACGTGTTTACACATTTGAAATAATAATAATGACACAAAGTTGCGTCACAGAGAAGTAAACCTGGAAATGGGTTCCATAAATGGAACAACTCTCACACGCGAATGTTTAGCTATTGTAGTAAAATAGAAGCATTAGTAGCGTACATATAAAAGAGAAATATTCGTACGATTCACTCATTAATCTTGAAATTTTAGATTTTGTAAATGCTACTTGCTGCCAAGATTATAGGTAGGTTTTTCAAAGACAGTGGATATCTGCTTACAATTTTTGGAAATTAAAAGAGTAAATTATAAAAATGAAAACACCCGACTATTGTTGACAAAGGAACATAGTATTATGCATAATTTTTTTTAACAGCTATTTGGTTTTGAACTTTGAAATTTTTATTAACAATTTGTTATTATAAATTATTTTTAAACATATAAGTTATATATATATATTTTAGTTGTGCCTTAAGAACCTTCATTTTGACACTACACTCGATAGGCTTGGAAGTTTTTTTTAATAATGTCCATATGACACTAACGACGTACGTATGAATAACCAAAATTGGTTAAGCCATTTAGTAGTTACGAGGGAACATAGGATCAGATATATAAGCTTACATACACACGTACAGATCAAACATATAACCCTCCTTTAAGCTTCGCCACAGTCTGGTAAAAAGGGGAAAAGATTGTATAAAAATCCATTATTTTTAAACTACGCAGACTGAACCAGAGGCAAAATATGCTAGTTTATGACATATTTTTATCATAAATGATACTCATGCATAATTATTTTCTTTATTTATACTTGTAATATACCTACAATTTGTTTGACGATAATTTTATGTCGTTGCAATTTCAAACTTTAATAACTCGGTTTTATGAGATCTCTATTTTACTTTATAGCACAAGAAATATATTTGCTTTAAAGCATTATATATACATATATATATATATATATATATATATATATATATATATATATATACACTCGTATATACTATATATGAAATATTTAAGAGATAAAATACTGTAGAAGTTTCTAAGCATAATCGTGAAATAAGAAGCAGTGCGCCTTGACCAGTGAAGGGTCATGTTTGGTCGCAGTTGCGTGCGTCAGGTGCGTTAATGATTAAATAATGGTTAGGGAATGTCAGCTGTGATGTTTTGTTCAAAATAATGTTTCAGAAAATTTACTTGTCTGATATTTTTTTAAGTAATTCGTAATAATCAACATCGTTTCAAGACGATAATATGTATATCTTACTATACAGCATTTTTGAAGTTATACTTCTTTTGGGACGTTTAGAAAAAAAAATGAGAGTAAAATGTTTACGATGCGCGCGCACACCGACAGCCAAAAAGCGACATGATGAAGTTAGCTGAAAGCGAAATGATGAAGTTAGCTGATAACTGTTTGTTGCCATAGTAACCGTTTTTATTGTATGACAAATGATATAATATATTAGGTATATTCTTTCCTTAAATGATATTCTATAAATATATGATTGTAATATGCCTAATATGCCTATTTTAATTATTTTATTAGTTTATCATTTCTTTTACCAACAGAGAGTTGTGGCATACGGGATGATATCTTTAGCTATTTTTGTTCTGTTACGCATACATAAGTACACGCACACGTTTTTTTTTCATTAGTAAAAGTCAATTCCACCTATAGACCTATGGTAACACTAAAGATTAGACTTTGTTAAATAAATAAAGTGAAAACTAATTAACTAATCTATATATAATATAAAAAAAAGTCGGGTTATTTTCACGATTTATAACTCAAGAACGGCTGGACCGATTTTAATGATCTTTGATTTGTTGGATTTGTTTCCGCCCCGAGTAGCAGAATAACTATTAAAACATCGGAAAAATTAATGAAAAAAGAATTAAAATTTACAAGGCTAACGCTAGCTAATAAGTATTTTTATATCTATTTAAAACGTATGTACTTAGGGACGCACACGAGCGAAGCGAACGTAAGTCACTAGTATAAAAATGTATAACATATACTGACATTAAAAATATTAAAAAGTAGAAAGTAATTAAAAAGTTAATGCACAGAATTTACTTTAAAACAAAATTAATTATGAAAGTATATAAATACTTTAATTTTTATTAACATATTATATAGAGCTGTATAGTGTATACATTTAAATATCATAAGCGATTTTAATTGTATATCTGGATTTCGATATTCATTCATTAAAAAAGATAACAATGGTATACCAATTATAATGCAACTAATTGATTATAACAAGCAGTCGGTATTTGAAAGAAACAATCACATAATAATTAAGAACGCACGCATGCGCCTTTGCTTAGAAGACAATACTTATTCATTACAACATGAAGAGTTTCAATTTGCCCACTCAGCGTTTCTCATTCAACTATACTTGTACATGTGTTGATTGATATACGTGAGACATTAAAAAAAAGATCAATGAAATGAATATTCATTACATTAATCGATGTGATGATCACCAAAGAATTTAGTAATTACAAAGTGAAGTCGATAATTTCAGTGAAATTTAATACACAACACTATAACGCTACCTGTGTGATGTCAGTTTTTTCCTTTAAATTCTCAAATCTCGCGAGAATCTCCTTAACAGACACTTTAGGTTCCGTAGTTTCCTCGTGGATCGTCTCCATGTGACCACTGGACGAGGACGAGAAACTTTGGGGGCACTTTTTGTGGCGACGTATGGGTTCCGGATCGCGGGTGTCCGCGCCCGAATCGGAGTCTTCGGGGGCGGAGGCTTCAGCACTGGAGGCTGCGCCCTCAGAGGAATTTATAAGTGAATCCAGACTTGGTGCACGTCTGGGAGGAGGGAAATCATCATCAACCTCCAAGCCATACACTCTTTGCAAGTGGCGCCAGTTATCACGCATTGCGGCGGAGAGGCGCGGCCGCTGCATGGTGCGCGCGAGTGCGCGGTCACGGTTCGACTGTGCGAGCGCGGACAGTCTCGCTATGGGGTATGGAAAGCTCTACTGTCGTTTTAAACACGGGATGTTGGGTTGTTAGCTCAATAAGAGGTTGCCGAAGGTTATGGGTGACATGTCATTGTTATGATACAATGTATTTTGTTTGTGATGTTTTATAAATCTCTCTTTAGGTACTACAGAGCAAGTGCTATTGATATTATTAAAAATAATGCATCAATCATGTTGTTTTTTTAATTTTACAATGCTGACCTGGACGGATGGAATGGAAATTATAATTTTAAAAGATGCCTGACCGAACATTAAGTTCATGAAACTTCTCAAAGTAAAAGTATATTTATTTCCTTTTTTATTCATACATAGAATAATTATAATTCCGGATGTAACATTTACATTATGCAAGAAAAGGTAGCATTTATTTACTTCTTGTGATTATTAACTTTTATATAACTGTTATTTAATAACTTCTAGAAATGGAGAACATGATGAAAAATTTAAAGTAGATATTTAATTACAATCACTCTGACAAATACCAAATATTTCTGATCAAATTGTTAATATTAAACACAATTTTAAATTTTACACGATAATTTGATAGTTATACTTATTTTTTAAAGCATTCTGAAAACGTATTATTTTTAATTATACTATTTCCATGTAAAAATCGCTTGTCATTAGTCTTCGTTAAAGAATTTTTGTGAAAAACTAAATTTTATTTGGTCAGGGTACAATACAGCCTACATTATGTTGATGAATATATTAACTGGTCTAGTAATTTTATATAACTCATCATCATAGTGAAATTGTCTGATTCTGCACATTCGGGGCGAAAGTGTAAAGATATTTATGTTAATTAATAATTTTCAATCAAATTATTTTAAACATTTATTTTTAAGCTACATAATGTACTACGGTAAGAGTTTTATATATGAATATATATATATATATATATATATATATTCCTGCAGTAAAAAGTATTGTTATATATTGATTGACCCGGATAACCAGCAATCATCATACCAAATTCCATAAAAATCTGTTCAGTGGTTTTCTTGTGATGCGGTTAATCACGGACAGACAGGCAGGCAAGAATTACACACAACAGACAATAAGATTTTCCAAAAAATATTTAATGTACAAATTCCACTCAGTTAAAATTTTATTATATGTATAGACTAGCGTCTCACCTTCGCTTCGCTCGGGTTCGTCCCTAGCTTGATTCCCCATACAAACTTTCATCTCCATTTTCACCCCCTTAAGGGATGATTTCCAGGAAAAAAAGTATCCTATGTCCTTCCCAGGACCTCAAACTATCTTCTTACTAAATTTCATCTAAATTGGTTCTGTAGATTCAGAGATTACTCCCTACAACCTCAAAAACTTTATATAATATTAGGTTAGATTAGTATAGATAGAACCCAACGTTAAAAAAAAAAAAAAAAGTATAGATAGAAGATACGGATTCCCGTAAAGAGCAGTTTAAGTAGCGATACAATACCTACTCTACTTTTCATATTATTCTTGAGTGGCGCAAATGAAAACCCTTTACAGGCACTGTTACAACGTGTCATAAATAAATAGATATTTATAGTCAGACAGTTACATACATCGAATTCTCATCAGCTTTAAAAAAAAGAAAAAAAAGGTTTTTTGTGAAAAGAGTTCTTGTAAATGTTTATTTTTCGGCGAAAGAATCGGCATTGGCAAAGGGAAAATGAAGCTATCATTATTTCTACAATGTATTTAACTTGTACAGTAATTATTAAATGCACATTTGTTTTATAAATATTTTTTTTATATTTTGTTTTATCGTATTTTTTATTTAAAAATTATTATCTATACATAGTATAAAACAAAGTCGCTCCCGCTGTTTGTACGCTTCTCTTAAACATTCATCTTTTAAACTACACAACGGATTTTAATGCAGTTTTCAACAATAGATAAAGTGATTCAAGAGGAAGGTTATATATATAATACAGAACATATATATATATAATAATAATATATATATATAATACAGAGAACATACCAGAACCCGAGGGAACGAGGGTGAGACGCTTATTATAAGTAAAATATTAAGCAGCATAGCATTATGTAAATTATGTATTGATATGCAGAAGTTAATGCCTTATATAATAAATTTCATGTTAGATAAATAATGCCCATTAAATATTCACCTTGTTCAATCTATACTTGCACTGACCGACTTCAATACGATTTTTTTATAGGTACCTATGTATGTTACGTGATGTTATCGGCAATTGTGGATAGATTTCGTAATTCTTTTTTTAATGAATAGATAATAAGTTTTAAGTAATTTTGAAGTCGGTGTATCTTTTTAAATTAAAAAGTAATTAATTATTTGAAGATGATTTTAATCATTACATATTATGAATTGGAGTTCCCCGACTCAGCGCTAAAACTTAGTTTTTTTTAATAGTAATTAATAGTAAAAAAACATTTTTTAAAACAAGCTTTTATTTAAATGCTCTAAAACGAAGAAAATAAGCTAAATATATATCATATAATAATATAATATAATAAATCAAACCCATCAATTTATTTTATTACATTACACGATTAATATAAAAGCTAACTAAAAGACGGAAACAAGTTGACGAAGGTATAAAGTATTATGCAGTCGGAGATATACACGTTTTTATCCTCGCCGCGAGTTGTATGCACAAATGTATGTCGTCGACTCGGACTGCATAGTACTATATTCCTTCTTGAACTTGTTTTCATCTTTTTAGTTAGCTTTTATGCGGTCGGATTTTTATTTTTATAATATATTTTTTTACTTGCAGCGTTTTAGTTTTTGCCAATTAGACATTTGAAGTTATAGCAGTTTTTTATCCAAAATTACTTTTATTCATATAAGTTGTATATATTTCTGTGATCGCCTCTTAAAAACCTTTATTTTGACTCCACTCGATTGGTTTGGAAGATTTTTTTAAAGACACAAATTGCCGCCTGAAATCCGCCATTTTATTTTTAGCTAATTTTATATAGCATAAGACACTTGCGTTATCAAGACAAATCTAACGACGTATTAATCATCAAAATCGGCCAACGCTTTTGGTCTTTAGAACGCCACATGGGAACAAACAAACATACATAGACTGATAAACACATTACCCTACTTAGCGTCGCGCAGTCGGGTAATGATATAAAAGCTTGTCGCGAAATTTGCCTGTTTTATAAAAAAACATGATATTTTATCTTCGAATTATTTTTGTCAAGATCTAGTTATATATTGTATTCTTGTTAATCCACACAGGTATATCTCGCGAACAAACACACATTGTAAGTTAAATGAAAGCATGTAAAATATCTACAAAAGTATAGGCTATCATTTTTGAACATTTTGCTAAAATAAGCTACCGGTATTTTATATAGAGCTTCCATAATATGAAAAATGAATATGCTACGTTTATGAAGACTCTACGTCGCGCCGGGTCACTAATGATAATGTTCAGAACAGTTTTGTGAGTTTGTGACGTTGTAGGGGGTAATCTCTAGATCTACTGAACCGATTTAGATGAAATTTGGTAAGAAGATAGTTTAAGACCTTGGAATGGACATAGAATACTTTTTATCCCGGAAATCATCCCCTAAGGGGGTGAAAAAGGGGATGAAAGTTTGTATTGCGAAGCCAAAGATTATATAAATAATAATCTATTTAAAGCATTATTTATGTATACAGAACGCTGTTTTCACGGTTAAATAAAAGAAGTTTTGTTTAAAATAATATTTGTAGTATTATTTTTGCAATACGACAGTGCTACGTTCTAATATAAGGCAGGTGTTCGGTCAGTGTAACGACTGTAACGGGCAGTAACGGGCGCTCATTCTGGAGCAAATTAGCGCGTCAAATCTGATACGTGTTTAATTATAATTGAAGCTATCTAATGATCGATTGGTATCACTGAGGCTCGTCTATTTTTTTTTCTATAAGCTTATTTATTTATCATATATAATATAAGCGAATAAAGCAACTGAGTTAAACAAGACTTAGAAAGAATCTAGTTTTAAGTAAAGTATGTTCTTATGAAATACTATTTAATAAAATCTAAAATTTAATAACCTAGAAACTTTAATATTTTAGCTCCTTCATCAAATTTAATTTATTTTTGAACGATTTCAAAATAAAGGAGGTTATCAATTCGAATGTGTAAGGTATGTTACGGTATAAAGGTATATTTATATATATTTGTTATATTTTATAATATATATATATTTCGATCGATATGTGTATTTTTTGCAGTAGTCCCGCAATAAATTTAAAGAATCATTCCGTTTTTAAGACCAGAATAACTACTTCTAAAGTCATTTTTTTAGCTTTTTCTTGTTTCTTAAAACTAGTAACAAGATAATCAAGCACGCGATAAGACGGAACTGACGATGTAGTTATAATGTAGAGAACATCTATCCAACAAGGGAAAGATGAAAAAAAAGATTAAAGAAGGAAGTACTAAATATTTCAAATTTCTTCTACAGATAAAAGAAACATTTTATTGTACCTTGTAAAGCTAGAAACAATTGCGTTATAAGTGTACATAATATATTATCTGCAACGGCCAGTGAGCATCTGTACCTTGTTAATGTAACTGTATCAGTTACGTGTAATCAACATTTAATTAGGTATCTAATAGAATAATTAATAATGGCGTAGGTAGGCATAAGCTTTTGCACAAACATATTCCTATAAAAATATGTAAAAATTTATTTTCCTGTCATTTTTATTATTTTGGATAGTAACGCGCTCGCTTAGGAAAAAGAGTGATGCGGGTTCAAATCCCGGGACTCGCACCTCTGATATTTTTGTGTGCGAATTATTTCCAGCAATCATTATCACTATTCGATTCGATTTGATTATCACTTGTCGTACGGTGAAGGAAAACATTATGGGGAAAGTGTCTGAGAGAACCTAGCAAGTTTTCGAAAGACATGTGAAGTTAGCCAACCCGTACTTGGCCCAGTGGTGGATTATGGTCTGGTCCGCCTCATATTGAAGGGAGGCCCGTGCCCAGCAATGGGACGTTAAAAAGGGCTGAATCATAAATTACTTGATTTCGTATACCGATCTAAGCTAGAACTTTTGAATAGTAGAATGATAATCTTTGCAGACTTAATCTGATTAAATCAGCGCATAACACGCTCACTTGTTGTTTGTGTTGTGTATGTTTTTACTTGTCAGATTTGTACTGCAGTAAAATAAAAGAAAGCGCTTACGAGTGTTTTTGTTAATGTATAATAAACGAGTAGGATGAAAAGATAAAAATGTACAAAATTTTGAATGTTTTAATTATTTAAATAATTATATCACATCAATATTATAATGCGTAAGCTTATGAGTTTTATGTTTATTACTTTTACACGCGCAAACCGTAGAGCGATTTCGGATAAAACTGATAAAACGTATTTGGAACGAATTTAGATCATGGCTTGGTCTAACATAGGTATCCTGGAAACCAATTTTTACGCGGACAAAGCCTCAAAAAAATATTAAGTATAATAGCCGCTCATCCTCGTTCCACCCTGGTTCATACCTAGGTACGTTTTAACGGTTAATATGGAATATATAGACGATATATACATTATATATATATATATATATATATATATATATATATATATATATATATCATACGTGTGATGATTTGTTGTGGGTTGTAATATAACGTCTTTTCCCGTGGGAATGAGATATCTCTCACGTTAAAAAGTAGCCTATGTCATTCTCCAGCCCTCCAACTATTTCCACACAAAAAATACACCAATCGTCATTCTGTTTTAACATAAAAATAGGACAAAATAAAAACAAACAAACACACTTTACATTTATAATATTATGTATGGAAGTATGGATGGAAGATATTCTAATTAAACTTCCTATATGTCAATTTTGTTAAAATTTAATATAGAAAGATGTCAGTGTGACCTCATCTTATATAACATATAATATGTTGAAAACGTTAAGCAATTTCGGAAGTAAAAAATATTGTTTATTTTAGGTCGCTCGTTTAAGTTTAAACTTTTGGCTGAATCATCCTTTGTCACTTTGTCAAATATTCACATGGTAGAATGTTCATTTTCTATGATATAACACCTACTTTGGCAACATAAATAGTATTTTGATTGACTTAATTATTTATGAATGTTCAACTCAAAACCGTAGCTACTCAAACGGTAAGCGCAATACGAATAATTTTAAAGTTGAAATACCTACTTATAAAAAATTACAAGATTTTTCGTAGGTATTCAAAATCTAGCGCTGTAACACAGATTATACGAGTATATCTACATACATAAATAAAATATTTTTTAAAATAATGTCTGTTTACGTAACACTAAACTGTGTACAGAATATAGACCTCAAAAAAATAGTTTTTGAAATTTCTGTCTGTTTGTTTGTATATCTGTTTACATTTTAAGCAAACAGTACTGAACAGTTTTAACTAAATTTTGTGTAGTGATAGCTTATTAGGTACTCGGGTTAACGTTTAGGATACCTTTTATTACAGGAAGATCTTTCATTCTCCTGTCGAGTACTTTCTCAGAAAACATGGCTAACGCTGGTCTTAAGAGATACATCAAAACAATTTACTAGAAAATTCTAGATCTCGGCCTACAGAAAATCCTGCAATAGAATAGGTTTATCTAATATGGTACACTCGCAATGACTACTTATAATTATACTTGCACATGTTATTAAAAGTATACAAAGTGATTGACAATAGGCCAATAGTACCTACTTAAATGTAATTTCAATTAAATACTATCACTGAACATTATATCCTACATTATTTGCATTCTTTTTTCTGTATTATAAAAGGAGAGTCTTTAAGCTTATTTCATTTGAAAGGTTACGTGTCGACGACGTCTACAAAATCATCGTTATACAATATATCATGTGTTCGTTATAAGGCAGATAAACTAAGTAAATACACACACATATAACATCTATAGTAATAAATGGAGAGCCGATATTTTGTTCGGTTATACTGCGGTAACGACTGAACCGATCGGAATAATACTCATACCATAAGGTGCAGCGTGTTTTGGAGAAGGTTTTAGTATATGATATATGCAGGCGGAGTCGTAAGAACACGCTAGTATCATATAAAAAGAGCTAACCAATTGAATCAAAGTATGCTGATGACGCAAAATGTCAGTAACTGTGTAATAGAAATATTTTTTTAAATTTAAACTTTGGCTTTGAATATCATAGAAATAGATACGTACGTGCGTATCTACGTTTATCAGGTTTTAATTAAATGAAGTTATTTGTTTAAATTTCAAATTTATTATGTCGTAGCCCTGTAAAATTGACATATAGGTTTTAAAATCTAAAAATAAAAACAATGTATCGTACCTGTGAACACTGCAGCGCGAACTCCACGATGATGGCGTGCGCGTGGTGCGCCAGCGGCGCGTGCAGCGTAAGCGGCGCGTCGCGCGCCGGCGTCAGCTGCAGCGTGGCGGGCGCGGGCGCCGCCGCGCGCAGCCCCTGCAGCGGGATGGCGCGCCGTGTGGCCAGGCCGCCGGGACCTGACGGGCAGGATATGTTATAATATCCCCCTCGTATTGAAGGGAGGTCCGTGCCCAGCAGTGGGACGTTAAAAAGGGCTGAATACAATACAATGTTATAATATCAGCAATTTTAACGTTCCCACTGCTGAGCAAAGGTCTCTCTCTATCAATGTGAGGAGGATTAGGTCATAGTCCACCGTGTTGGTTATATGCAAGCCGCAGGATTTCATGCGTTTTGGTTTTGAAATATCTCCATGAAGCCTCTAATATACAAATAATCAGTGCCCTATAATCTATTTACAAAGCTAGCGACTTTGCTTTGATAAGTGCCTAAAAATAGCCCATGTATTAGAACATACCCATGTAATAGCAATATAGAGTCATAGCATCTGCGTATTAAATTTCTTCCAAATTCGTCTAACTGTTTAAGCAAAAATTAACACATACACTTTAGTATTTATAAACTCCCTCTCCCATTAGTTAAAATATTTTATACTATATTATATAATTATATGTTATTCTATAATTATTTTTATTCGAATTTATCCTTAAATTGAGGAGTACATTTTCAACAATATATTAGTATATAGTTTCTTAGACTAATATACAGTTATTACTATTGATAAAACTATACTACACTATATATGTATTAATTAAGTCAATTAAATAACTAAAATATACCTTTAACTCCTATAGTAACTGCATTATGAGACACCGCCAGTACGGCATTTTCCCCGGGCGGGACCCGCGCTGAGAACAATCTCGCGAAGTAGAAGGGCCACTCTCTAGCCATCTCTACAGCTTGCCGTTTAGTGTTAACGCGAACTGGTCCATTCTGCGACCGGAGCCACGCCGCGCCCGCGCGTCTCTCGCTTGCGCTGATGCGGAGGGACGGTATGTTGGAGGTTATGTCGTGTACGATCTGGGGAATAAAGTAATAATTAAATATTGACCTTTTGCCAAATTTTGTGACTCTAGGTCAACGAGAACTACCATATAGGTTTTCGACCCAAAACCTATAGGGTACTTCCGGTTGACTTAGCATTGTCAATTTTGATTAAAAGCAAGGTCTTACAGCACAAGTAAAGGGAAAATTCCGAAAAATAAAAATAGTTGATAATTAGGGGAAATTTTAGTACTTACAAGTTTTCGCCAAAATCTAAATTTGCCCATATCTTTTTATCGTGTTGACCCAAGACCTTGATTTTTATACACCTAATAGGGTCTAAAGACCTCAGTATCTGGTATAAATTTCACTCGCTAGGCCCACCCATTCCTGAGAAAATCGGTGGTGACAAACGGACAGACGCATAAGAGAGTGCTCTTATAAGGGTTCCTTTTTTACCTTTTGAGGTACGGAACCCTAAAAACTATTCAATCCTAATAAGAAAAAATCAGTAACTATTAATAAAAATTTTATGTAAGCCTAATATAATCTTGGACTAATATTGTTAGCTAAAAAGTCTCATAGTAAATTAAAAAAAAAACATCCAATATATTGAAATGCAATAATAAGTATGTAAACAGTGTTATTTCCTTACTTGAGCATATAGCAAGTCTAGAATGGCAGGCTCGTTGTAGGTCTCAAGCGGCGTGAACACTTCTTTGCGCACGCGCAGCTTCCACGGCACGCGCGAGTATGTGATATACGAGCGCTCGGACGGTAACAACGCCGCTGGCGCCGGCACGTCTCCTGCGGTCATAATTTTATATTAATATTTCAAACGCGAGTTTGTGAATGCGTTTATTTCTTTACGATGTAACATCTCTACGGATTTGAGTGAAATTCGGGCAAGAGAAAGTTAATATTCTTAATTAACACATTAGTCAATGTTGCACTTTTTTTAAATGCGTATATTATTACCACATCACCACGAGCAGAAACTAGTTGTGTAACTTCTTATTATTAAATATTTTAATAATTAATATTAACTAATAGATTTAATTTTTTAACCATTTAAATTTACTATTCGAAAATTTAAATTTTAAAATTGGCTATTAAAGTAATAAATAAATTATTAAAGTAATTTTAAAAATAGATATATACTTACGTTCAATGTGTTCTGTTTTATCTGTGACGTGAGTAGAGACGGACTGACGTCTTTCAGCTTCCAGCTTCCTGTCTCTTTCCTTTTGTGCCATATGAGTCTTAAATGTCGGACGTTCAGTCCTTTTTAAAGTATCATTGCTTTCTTGTGGAAACATAATATCAGACCGCGGACTGTTCCTCGATCGACCTACTAACATGTCTCTAGAATTTTTCCTCCCGTCATATCGCTCGAAGTCATCGAACAAAGCTGATGAACGTTTCCGTTCAAAGTTTTCCTCCATTTCAGTTTCTTCCTTTCGCCTTTCAGTCCTTACAGGATGAATTTCGTATATTTCTGAAGCGGCTCGTCCAGAGAAGTTGTCGCGTATGTCACGTCTATTATCTAATGTAGATTCCGAGTCCCATTCATCTCGACCGTTTTTCTCGTCATAGCTTCTGCCGTCAGACTCGTCTCCCCAGTCTTCTTTAACTCTGCGGTCTCGACGGTCAGCAGTTAAGAAACGCGACGCTAAATCGTCACCTTGATTGGATTCACTTTCATCTTTCCTTCTAGTACTCCAATTTGCTAAAAATGCATGGCGATCGTCAGCTTCTCTATTTTGGTGAACACCGAAAGTGTCTCTATCGCGACGTAGTTGTGCAAATGTAGAGGAAGAATCTGCTGGTGGTGGTGGCGCTGGTTTGTCTGGGGGAGATGGCGGGGACATTGGAGGAGGAGGCGCTGGTCCAGGAGGTGCTGGGGGAAGGGGAGGGGGAGGTGCATCCCATCGCATACCACCACCTAATTGCCTTTCTAACATTAACTTTCTAGTATCTTCTAATTTGTTAATCGTTCGTGGAGTTTCCGCATTTGACGACGAACTTCGAACTGAATGATTTGCTGTCACTCGTTCCAATCTTTGTCGCATTTCTGAACTCAACTTTAATTTACCAACACTCCCTGGAGACGGTCTTTGCGCTCCAATTTCAAAGCTGCGTCTTGCAGTGCGTTGAGAAGGTGGCTCTCGAGAAGACGGAGAGTGACCATCCACCTCAAACTCCTCCCATTCAATCCCTGGTGAAGCTTCTGATCGGGAACGTCCTCTTGGTGCTTCATGTTCGATACCGTTTGATTGCGCTTGGGGCGTAATTCTTCTTTGTATCTGACGCATTTTGAACTTAGTAAAATCTTGTGGTGTTTCTTGTCCAACAGCGTCTTTTGGAGGAGGCCATCGCCATTTACCTATCCTTACGGTTTTAGCTCGACCATATAAATCTATGAAAGGTCTAACCTCTGAAGGATCCATAGCATGTAGTGGGGGTGGCATTGGCGGAGGAGGAGGTGGAGGGGCTCCTGCAGATGAGCTTTCGTTAGACTCTCGTCTGGATTTTACTGAGTTTCTAGGAGGCGAGTGTATCTGAGCGTGCACGACAGTCGAAGCTCGTACCGGTGAAGTAGGAGCGGAATCGGTTGATTCTACTACTTGACCGGCAAGTAAAGTTTGTAAAGCTTGATTTTGAGCCAACAACTGCTGTTGAATTTGAAGATTTTGGGCCATAGCGTTTTGTAAGAACGCTCTTTGTAAGTTTTGATGGTATGCGTTGATATCTACAGTTCCTGGAGGAGGTAAATGTAAACCTAACGCAGCTGCTAGTGCTTCTGGAGTCGCCGGCATCGCTGGCATGGACGGTGGTAGAGAAATAGCGCCAAAACTTAGCGCAGATGTATTTGCACCACCAGCTCTTGGAGTAGATCCACCACCTTTTATAGCACCTGATAATCCTTCTCCATCGGTTAATCGTTTTAGACTGTCGTTCATAAATATTGGGTCAAAAAGGTTCGTGATGTAATCGTCAACAGAATCAACATTAGATTCTTTTCTGCTTGTTTTGCCACTTTCTTCTTGGCCTCCGCCTTTGATAAGGCGTGTCATAGATTCAGAATTATTCAAAGTCTCTATTTGTTCATTATAGGAACAACTTAGTACGTCATCAATGAATTTGTTATAATCTCTGCCTCCTTTGATGCTAGCCGCGAGTGATCGTGCGTCAGACATTTCATCAATATTTGGGTCTAGTACGGGAGAGAAAAGATCGTCGAGGAACTGATCGACATCAGATGCTTGACTGGGAACGCGAACACGACGTACGTGCGAGGCCAAGCTCGGAGCTTCAGATGTGTCAGACATTGCTGATGATCTGTGAAAAAAAATAAAAATAAAATATATTTGTAAAATTATAAAAAGTAATGTCAAAAGAAAACTCTAAAATAATTAATTGTTCGATAGCACATTTTCTTTACAAAACTTTAACTCAGTACAGACTAAATATTCTAAAATATGTAACACTTACATATATTTCAAATAAAACAAAATTTTACCTAACACCTCCAAATTCGGAACTTTTTTCAATATAAGCGCGGCTAGACTGCGAGCCAGCCGGCGCGCGCTTGCCCACGTACTGCGACTTAATGTACCTTGAATGTCCCGCGCGATTACCGCCATACTCCTGCTCCATGCCCTTACTACTGGTCACACTCGGTGCCCCTCCGAGCCGCTCTACTGAATGATATCTATCATTCAACCGTGATTGTGACAACCCTAAATCGGCAAACTTTGTTTGTTGAGGCACAGGGTTGTCACCCAAGAGATTGTCTAGTGAACGGCTTCGAACCTTATCCGATTGTTGCTCAAAGTAGCGCTCATTCAACGCTGATTCTCGAGACAGAATGTCGTGAGATATCTTCCTTGAGTAATCTGTAGCATTTCTATTGTATTCAGATGTATTTTTCGAATACTCCATCGTATTTCTGGAATATTCAGCATTATTTTTAGAATATTCGTTTGTATTTCTTGAGTATTCTGCGTTATTTTTAGAATATTCATTAGTATTTCTAGGATATTCTACGTTGTTTTTGGAATATTCGTTTGTATTTCTAGGATATTCTGCGTTGTTTTTGGAATATTCGTTCGGATTTCTCGAATAATCGGCGGCATCCTTTGAATATTCACTTGTTTTTCTGGAATAATCACTAGTATTTTTGGAATAATCGCCACTTAGTTTTGGTAACGTGCGGGATTCCTCTTGTTCCATTTTCCAATTGTATTCAGATATGTTCTCTTCTATAGATTCTTGTAGCATACGCTGGATACTTGGTGACCGTGACTTCGGTGGTTCTGGCGGTGGGACCTAGTAATAAAATTATAAGTTATAAAATCAATAGTAAAATAATATTTTAGATAGCGTAATATGTAAAAATTGTATATAGCTAAATATTTTTATTCATAGTTTTATCTCAGGTTTTTCTCGGAACTAAAAAAATAAATAAATACATAGATGAATAGTTATATAATTGTAATTAAAGTTAACATAATGAATGCATTTTCTGACATGCTACTAGAAAACTGATTCGGATTTTATTTGGAATTTATTTAGTCTAAAGACATGAAAAATGAATAATTATGCCAGTGCATGAATTAGTGAGTAATTAAGGTGTATCTGTGTGTACATATAATAATTATTTATGTTATTTTAATTTTGGGTGAAGCCATGTTATCTGAAATCTGAAGAAATATGCACACGTGACTTTTTGTCATACTATCGACGCGCACTTGTAACACGTTTTTCAATACGAACGTCAACAATGAGATTTTTTAAATGTATCAGCTTAGACCACACACGTTAATAATAGCTACGTAATCGGTGCGTTTTTACAATGTGGTGCGTATAGGCCTTTACTTATATCTATTACTAGTGACTCACCGTCGCTTCGCTCGGGTTCGTCCCTAGGTACGTTTTAACGGTTAGTATGAAATAAAAATCTTCGAATTTCTTGGCTTTTCTGTACTATAATATGCATGTATTATACATATAAACCTTCCTCTTGTATCACTCTTATCTATTAAAAAAAACCGCATCCGCAATCCGTTGCGTAGTTTTAAAGATGTAAGCATACATAGGGACAGACAGACAGCGGGAAGCGACTTTGTTTTATACTATGTAGTGAAGAAGAAGTAGCATTCGCTCACCAGCGGGCGCGGCGCGGCGGTGGCGGCGGGCGCGGGCGCGGCGCGGTCGCTGTCGGCGGAGGAGGCGCGCGGCGGCGGCGCGGGCGCGGCGCGCGCCAGGCGCAGCGGCTCGGCGCGCGCGCCCAGCGCCGCCCACGTCTCCACCTCGCCCACCGCGTCCAGCGCGTACTCGCAGCCCGCCCACTCTGCGTGGTGGGTGTTACATACATGGTTTAAAACAATATAATAAACAGTAGCCATGCGCAATCATCCGATCGTGTAATGTGGCATTTTTTTGAGATTTCCAATATATTTAGGCATAGGAAAAGACTTTAAAAGTTTAAATTGTAGAAAAAAACCTAGTTAATTATTTTTTTAGTGGAAGTTAAACATGGAAATTTAATTACCGAAGTTGTTCATGATGTTTCATATTATTTAAACTTTTAGGAAAATCTCACAAGAAGTATTATAATGGAAAGGCCCACTATTAAAATATTTTATAAATAGGACTACAATCATAATATATTTACACATAATAATTTTTACATATACTAATAGTCTTACATCGGTGTTCGAATAGAGTTAAATGAGAGAGATGAATGAGTAAATGTGAATATTTAACACTAGATTTTTTTTTTCAATATTTTTTTTCGGATTTATTTTGATTCCTGATCTTCGGATTTATTTTGAGTAGGTACAACAAGCAGCCACTCTTTTCTGTAATCATCTTTATCGAAACGTCGGAAACCAAAAATTAAAATAAAAACTTGAGTAAATCCGAAAAAATATTTTTAATTTAAATATTTCTTCGACATGACTTTACTATGTTCAGCTGTGCTAAAAGAAACTTAAATGAAAATAATGACAAAAAAAAACAATGTAAATAAAAACAAAACAATAAACCAAATCAAAGAATTTTCCTGCTATTGTTACTGCGTCAACAAAACATCCATATGTACCAGTGAGCTGTCCATTGTGCTCGAGTGTGAGCGACCAGCCGGCGGCGCCGCGCGCGACGCCCGCCGCCGCCAGCGCGCCCGCCGCCGCGCGCTCGCACGTCGTCCAAGACTCTACGCCCACCGTGTGCACAGAATCTGTATGAAAATAAATATTTAAAAATATAAAAATGTTATGCCTTGCATACAAATAATGGATATAATATATATATATATATATATATATATATATATTATATATATATATATATTAAGACGACCACTGAATTGTAATAGTTGTCTGGGTAGCTTTGTCTTTTCTGTTAGATTTAATTTTTGCCAGTTAAACAAAAAGAGATGATGAATTCAACGTACTGAAGTGCGATCTCGAATCTGCCAAACTACAGTTATAACAACCATAATTTATATCCTGAGTATCACATAAAAGTACGTAAGATAGTCGGGTGCGTCTAGTGTGCTTGCTGTCTAGACATCTTCATTAGACGTCTATATAGACAATCAGATCGTGATTAAGTAAATACTTAAAAATAGATAAAATAAATACAAAAGCACAACTCACCATCATACAACCTCACAGGCAACGCAGGCCGAGCGTTCTCCGCGGCCGCCTTCCACTCGAGCAGCGTGGGCGGCGCGCGGCGCGGCACGCCCGCGCTGCGCGCCGCCGCCGCCTCGCCGCCGCACACGAGGCGCAGCAGCCGAGCGCGCTCAGTGCCCGATGCACGTTCGGATATTAGCCGGATCAGGTATCTGTTAGATGTTAAAAGTTTTATTTTTATGAATATATTAAGTTTTATTTTTATGTATATCGGTATTTGGGTTGAGGAAAGATATGCAGTAATATCATTACTAATTGATTATGCTGAATAACAATCTGCAAGCCAATAGATTCGTCCCCAATTTACATATTTGTTTTTTGTAAATTAGTCAAATTGGACAGAAAAAATTATATGAGTGTGTATATAAGTATGTTTGTTATGTCTTAACGTTTAAACGGTTAGACGAATTTGCATAAATTCATGTTAATATGATGCAGCTAACGACGCACCCTAGCGAAGCGAGCGTAATTCGCTACCGTTTTGTTAAATTAATTACACTCTGTAATAAAAATTAACAAACCTACTAAATAATTTAATGTTTATATATAATGATTAAATTGTGATAAATTTTATTATAGACCAAAATTAATATTAAAATATAACTGAATTCAAAACTTTCTTCTATCTTGAAGTCGGTTAAAAATGATAGAAATAAAAAAATAGGTACTTGTGCAAGGCAGGCCCGGGCTGGAAGGCGGCGAGGCAGTGTGCGAGCAGGCGCAGCACGCGCGCGTCGCCCGCGCCCGCCTGATTGCACAGCTGCACCAGCACCTCGTCCCGCAGCCCGCGCGACGCCAGCCCGCGCGACGCTATGTAGTCCGCCAGCACCTGCACACCATCATAAATGATACATTAAGTACCAACTCTCCTGTCACCAGTAGAGGCGACAAGACGAAGTGTTATGTCTTTTAAAAAGTACTTAGCACTTTGACTCCATGGGCCAAGTGTTTCTACAGCAAATGGAATAAAAACATAATTTTGACTAAGGGAGGCGTATTAACGTAACTTAAGAAGTTCAGCCATCTCCGCCGCGGCTCCCATCTTATCGCCTCTACTGGTGACATTGCCACGCGGCTATACGGGATATTCCACGCGGACATGACTTGTACAGTAATAACTAAGTGTACATTTGTTTTGTATATATAATTAAGTATATTTGTAATTTTCTTTATTGTAAATAAATTATAGGTACTAGCAAAAAAAACAACAACTAGATTAAATTATTATGTACACGAGTTTATATATTACGAAACATGATGAAATTACATAACGTATACAATTAACTTATACACTTAACAACTACACTCACTTTCTGCCTTGTTTCATTCCCGGCAGCTGATTCGTCGCACCATCGCAAGATGAGCTTGAAAATGGCTACAGCGTCATTAAAATCTTGGTCTCTGTAAAAATAATAATTTACATATTACCTATGTAATCCAAATACAAAATTGAAAGTAAGTATGAATAGATTATTTTGTAAAATGCAATGCATTTACGCATACAGGCGGTTATGTGGGACTCAACGGCTAGAAAAGCCAGTACTAAAACCCAAAACTCGCAGACATACTAACATATATGAATTGAAAAGATATTTTTTTAAAATATCACCCAATTTATACAAACCTTACGGCAGCCTTAGATAAGAAAGGCTTAGTGATTGGATGTTTTCTGGGACTCAGCTGACCACCGTCAGCGAAGTACACAGAGCTGAACTTCGAGAATGCGAATTGCTGCAAATCTCGAGGTAATTGAACTCTTTCCTCTTCTGCAAACACATCACCAGGCACCTGTAAATTATTATAATAAATAATTGTAAACATACTCTATTTAAATAAAACCAATCCATACTAATATTATAAATGTGAAAGTGTGTTTGTTTGTTTGTCCTTCTTTCACGACGAAACGGAGTAACGGATTGGCGTGATTTTTTGTGTGGAGATAGTTGGAGGGCTGGAGAGTGACATAGGCTACTTTTACTTTTATCGCGGGAGATTTCTTAATTCCCACGATATCACACGTTATAATACAATCCAAAAAATTATTTATTATCAGAATTACTTTAACCTTGGTATATACACTCATAAAAATAAATAATTTTATATATATAAAAAAAATAAAATTATATAAATAAGTTTCTTAGCATTTTTCAAAATTAAGGGGATAAAATAGGAGATGAAAGTTTGTATGAAACTAGCTTTTTAGAGATTTTTTGTAGTTTTAGCGCGAGCGAAGCCGCGGGTTCTGCTAGTTGATTATAAACAAAATATTAGACAAAAGCACATTACGCATTACGGATACGATACGACTTTTTTAATTCGTTTTTAATTTAAGCTGCGAATTACAGCAACTTTAACTATTTCACTTTCAAAATGGCAAAAGATATTAGTGATAGAACCTCTTACTTACTTTGCTAATATTTCGTTCCGTGTGTGGTGGTTGCCAGTCGTCAACCTTGGATAATATAAAGGCGAGTTCCGCCGGCACTTCCAGTACTTGAAGACTTTCTGCTTTCGCTTTTTGTTCCGCTGCTCGTCGTCTAAAATTATGTTAATTATATAGTAAGCTCTTACTTTTCTTATGTTACGTTACTGTTTTGATTTTATTAATTAGTAAAGTGTACATCTGTATACATACATATGTATGTATATACATTATACATATGTATGTATGTATATGCCAGTGAAAGTACTATTAAAATGGTTTCAGAGGTTCAATTCAAATAAAAAAAAAACAGTTTTTTGAATTGCACAAAATTGTTATAATTTCTTACTAAATGAAAAATTTTTAGTCCTGAAAAGAACTGGCAAAAGAATCTCAGCGGGACTAAAATTATTACATTAATTAAAAAAATATATAAAAAACAATAGTTCTCCAATTTCTCCATTGGAATAGTCTGAAGAAGATCGAAGAGTATTATCTTCAACAAAAACATTTATTTCTTATCATAACCCACTTCCGGAGATTCAATGGCAAAACAGTTAAAAACCGTCACTTTAATTTAAAAATATTGATTTCTATTTTTGTGTGCTCGAGATACAAACAGCTTGTGCCTTATTTCGAGCACACAAATAGATACGAGAAATTAATAAGTACTCAAAAGTACATAAAACTCACTTGGCAGCAGCTTGTTGCGCTTCCTGTCTCCGTTTCATCTGCTCCTTGAGTGCCTTAGCTCGAGCGCGCGCACGTTTGCCGCGCAAGAGTGCCTGTGCTCGAACGACCCCGCGCCTAACGACGACGTACTTGCGACGTTCCCGGGAACCTTTCCACCAAGATTGGATCTTCACTGCCGAGTACCGCATTTGATGATAGTGTTTTCTGAAAAATAATTATGTTTAATTTATAAATGCTTATGAAATATTTACAAGAATATATTTGCATTTTTTATTTCTTAATATCATAGAAACTTCTTTTTGATTCAAACCATTTAGATATTAACTAGCGGCTCACCCTCGCTTCGCTAAGGTTCGCCTCTAGGAAAACAAAAACAAACTTATCCCACGGGAACCGTACATTTTTTTGGGATAAAAAGCCTTAGCCTATGTGTTATTCCAGCTTATAATCTATCTCTGTGCCAAATTTCATCCAAACCCGATCAGACGTTCTGGCGTAAAAGAGTAACAAATATCTATACATCCATACTCACAATCTTTTACGTTCGTAATAAGTTAGAAGGTTTACGAATAAGGTTTATTTTTCTCTAGGAAAAGTTACCGGAAAGTTGGGAAATTCGAGACGAAATTGATTTTTTTCTTTAGTGTTTTTATATAAAATTGAAGTAAAAGGACAACGTCTATCTGGTTAGCTAATTTTCAGTAAATTAATAATTACAATTTCCTATAAATTTGTAGCCTAGAACACAGATAAAGCGGTACTCACCTAGCCAAATATCCCCTAATCCTGGCCTGTAGCAGCGTAGCCGCGGCACGTAGCTTGTCCGCGCGAGCGCGCTCTAACGCGCGATGCAGCGCCTCTCGGACGAACACTCGCGCAGCACCCAGCTGAAAGTCCGCGCCCACTGCAAGTGAATAATTGATTAAGTAATTATTTGTTACATCAATAAGTATTGATGAACGTACGACGTTATGATTCATTTCTTACTAATATTCTAAAGGCAAGTAAAAAGACCTTAGAGTAGGAACAATAATAGAATATATACTAATTAAACTATTCGTAACATGAGTCACACACACACTCTCATACAGACATATGCACGATAACTTTTATTACTACATTATTATATTGTAACTGCTAATTTACATCTATATTAACTTACCTATTTAAGTTTGTTGTTGTATTTAATTTACCTTGTATAATGGGATTAAGGATTAAATCTGTACATTTTGTTATGAAAGAGTTCTCCTAATACAGGCAAAAATTACTTGCTTAAAAGGGGACCTCAACCACAAAGTTTGTCAACATTATCTCTTCATGCAAATAAAATATTTTTATTTTATATACTTCGAATTAGTATTATAGCGTATTCATTGCGAATAATGCGCTATAACGGCACGGCCTTGGATATGAATAAAATTGGGAAGGGAGATAGCTTAAATTAACATAGCCCATCTTTGTCGATGTTTTTGTAAAACTAAATATTATATGTTACAAATATTAAAATAACAAAGATGGCCTTTTTATATTAAAAAAAGGTTTTTGGGAGTTGCGTATGTAGTATTAGGATTTAATTTAAAATATTAAAATGAAATAAAAGTGAGACTCTTAAAATTTAACAAATATAACACAACTTACTTAATACCATAGCTTTAAGCCCATAACTTCGTTTTTTAACACTTTTCCAATCAATCCTTTTGCCTATTTTCCACATGTTTATGTGACTGTGTGTTCACTACTAAGCCTTTACCGAGCGATAACGACTTTCGATAAAAGATTTGGTAGAGCCTATCTTGTGAAAGTGAAATATACTAATTGTTAGAGTCATTATGTCGTTAGATATTACGAATTTATATATCAAATAACGGGGATAAGATAACGAAAATTGATCAGAGTCATATAATTAATTACATGTACATACTATAAATTAAATTATATAAACTACTAGCGACTCACCCTCGCTTCGCTTGGGTTCTTCCCTAGGTTGATTCCCCATACAAACTTTCATCCCCATTTTCACCCCCTTAAGGGATGATTTCTGGAATAAAAAGTATCCTATGTCCTTCCCAGGGTCTCAAACTATCTTCTTACAAAATTTTATCTAAATCGATTCAGTAGATCCAGAGATTACCCCTACAACGTCACCAACTCACAAATTCACAAACTTTACCTCTTTATAATATTAGTATACATATAAAGAAATCTACATATCAAGTAAGTACAATAAGTCTATAAAATCTAGTTCATTTTATTATTGCATATCAAAGACGTCCATAGTAACTACTAACCGGTACAAATAAAAATTCATGTAAACAAACATTGGCTGCATTAGCAACCATACACTTGTTTTAATTCGGTCGTGACTTTCGATGAATCCCAATAAACTGTCTATCAGTAATGCTATTTACTAAGGAATTTGACATAATTTGTTCGGAGCATCAAAAATGTGTATCTCTAATAAGAACAAGTAGTTGTAGAGATATGTTATTGGGATACAATTGGACGTACGAAATTAATTTGTTCGGTCTAAATAATAAAACTTAGCACTTAATTTTTTTTTTGGAAAAAGTCGAGAACTACAGAATGACCAAAGAGTCATTCTCTCTCTATCCCACAAAGGATAAGGGCACCTTGTATTAGAGTAATATTGATTTTTTTTAATTAATAGGTATAGTGATGAATGAACTTTTATTTTTTTTTTGTTATATAAATATAGTATTGTCGTTTCGGTGACACATGTAGGCGGTATTCGTTAGTGTAAGCAGCTTTCTAGTATAAAGTACTTCATACACAGTACACAATGTACGTGGGCGAGGCAATTGTACAAACAGCTTAATTATCATAATCTATACTCGTCTCGACACGTGTACTTCACACTGTTACACATTTTTTGTATATATATATTCTCAAACATTGTATACAAACATTTATTTATCGTTTTAGTTATCTATAGAGCTCTTTAAAATAAAATTCAGTTTGTTCAAATATTATAGTACAAGCGACTCGCCCTCGCTTCGCTCGGGTTCATCCCTAGGTACGTCTTAGGGTTTAATATGGAATATAGACAATATAATGATATATAGCCTATAGCCTTTCTCAACAAACGGGTTATCTAATGCAAAAATAATTTTTCAAATCAGATTATTAGTTCCTGAGATTAGTGCGTTCAAACAAACGAACAATCAAACTCTGCCTCTTTATGAGTGTAGATTATAGTGACTCTTCTTATGCATTATTTAGTTTACTAGTTTTATTCGTTAAAGTTATTAAAAAGTTAGTTTAAAGTCGTTAAAGTTAATAAAATTAAAGTCGTTAAAGTTAATAAAATTAAATAATCAAACTCTTAAAAGCAATTTATATTGTAAGTAAAGTAATATACGTACCAGCGCCGGTAGGCGGCATTTGCGCGAGGATAGAATTGCAAATTTCTCTGTAAGGCGTAGCGCGAGGAGGCATCGCCTTTAACAAGTACCTGCAAACAGAGTTGTATTGAATATGTGGCTTAATATAATACTTTCTTAGATTTACACGAATATTTGATATTTCAATTAAACTATCTTTAAGAATTTTATAGCGGTATATTTTGATTTTTTTTCTCGACTGTTCGAATGCTTTACAACAAACATGGTCGCGGAGCCGTGAAAAAGTAAAAATTGTTTAAAATATTATTACCAAAATGAAATTTTACGTTATCCTTTTATCTAATTTACCTTAAGTGAATAAATGTTTACTGTATTTTTTTAACGACAAACTACACTACTCATAGTTTAATAACAAAATAGAATTTTTGTTTATTACTAACAAAAAACAAAAATATATTTTAGTAAGTTACCTAAAGCAGTCACAAGATTAATCTGTCTCTATGTGTATTGTTATGAAAAATCGCAATAATAAGTTCCGCCACTTAGCGCCCACGGTTATAATATGAACATACATTGTAGAAGCGTAAAAATAAAAACTCAGGAAAATTACACTAGTTTCTATATATTCTTTTTTCTGTTAAAAAAATCTATATATGCAAATAAATTTATTTCATTATTTATTAATTTTTATTTATTTATTAATTTTTATTTATTTATTAATTTTTATTACAAATTTTCGTACTATTATTATAAATGCAAAGGTTTGTATCTGTGTGTCATGTATGTAAAGTTTTTTTTATTTAAAAAAAAATGTCTACGTCAAAAGAAAATGTATTGTGTGTTCAAAATATATCAGAAAATTACATTAAAATTTGAGTAATACTATAAAATATGTTTTAAAAAGAAAACAAAATCGAATGGGCATATTACAAGACGTTCGCGATAAACAATAGCATTCCCAAGGAGGGTTGATATCAGGCAGGCGGCCGGTCGTAAAACTTTAGCCTAATCCTATCAGCAGTACGGAAAATGTACTGTGCCGACCCCAAGTCATTGGGAAATGGGCAGGGAGATGATGATGTGTGAAAAGTTTGTACGTACATACATATATGTGTTACTTTTTTACGCTAAACGGCTAGACAGATCTGGATAAAATTTGATGCATAGATAGTCTATGTCCTAGACTAAAATATAGGCCACACTATAATTGATGCCATATGTACGGAAATTTGTATAAACAAAATTGAAGAGATGGAGGATGATATAAACTACTTTTTATTGCAATAAATAAAGATATCTTATATCCACATGAAAACACGTTATAATAAAACTCTTATTTATATAGTGCATCTTTCACAAATAGTATAAATCTTACACTCACCTATATCTCTCAACGAAATTCTGGAATGGTATCCGAATAGGATAGCCCATCTGCCTAATCTTGATTGTATCCAACATGCCGGTATACCGCAGTTGTGAGAGAACACACGGCATGTCGAATTTCATAGGCGATTTATCCGTATTAGGTTTAATACAACGCACGAACCACGGATTGCAACGTGACATCGATTCCAAAAGCTGGTGCAAACTGTCTGAAAATCTGTGGGAAAAGATTATTTGTGTCATATTAATATTAGAATATTCATTATTTTCTCGTTTTATTGATTTTAACTCACCTAAATATATACAAAAATATATAACTTGGTATGTATCGGAAAGAATTCATAGCCTTTTATTTTCAACTATAAGTAAAATCATGTGAAGAATACACTCCATATTTCATTTTCAATATATTTTTTCTACACTTCATATATGCAATGAATTAGGCACACACGTGAGCACTTATCCGTCTCTTGAAGAAAATACGAGTCTTATTAGAAACATGAATCGATTCGAATTAAATGAAACCTTTGAAAAGTAGAGACGTTGCAGTACTATGGATTAGTAGTTTTTAAAATTGTGACATTCAATTTGATTACATAAACATTAACGTGTTAGTAGTACTTAAATATAGTGACTATGACGGGGTACATTAGAATTAGGGGAAATTATTTCAAATCTCGCTTAGAGTAAGTTAATTGTTATAGAGCGTCAACTGATACACAAATCCCAAATAAACGCATCTTAAGGGTGCATTATTTTGCTGTGTGTCCTATTAAACTGCATTTTTAGTATCGTGTTGTAGGTAAATAATATATTAAACATAAAAACATTATCGTTATTCATATAAACTACATAATATATAAAGAGTTTAGAAAATCTATTAAAAATTCTAAAAAATATTTGACTTTTAAGTTTTTCTCTGCGATTAACTAAGAGTCATTTATAATAAGACTGTTTGATTGATTAGACTCAAACACGACTGGAACATGTTCCATTCACTAATATCACAATTATTGCCAAACACTTATCGTCTTTCTTTTCAGTGGGATTTATCTATAAGTATTTAAAGCATACACATCTCTACCATTGTACATAAGCAAGCTTTTATTGACCATTTTTAACCCAATCACGTAAGGGTTTATATCTACATATTCTTGCTTCTTACTTCCCCATATAAGCTCTTATCCCCATTGTCACTCCTTTAAGGAATGATTTCCGGAATAAAAACTATCCTTTGCTCTTTCCAGGATCTTAAACTATCTTCTAACCAAATTTCATTTAAATCGGTTTAGTAGTTTTGGAGCTTATTCGGTACAAACAAACACAGATTTTTTTTTTCTTTATAATATTAGTATAGTACCAAAAAAGTCATTACACATCATCATTCAACAGTCACTAAAATTCGTCAAGTCTTACCGAGCAGCAACAGTGGGTGTCCGCGGCTTCATAGTAACAAACCGTCCATTAGCTCCTCTCGGCAATGTTTTGTTAGCGTCGTGTTGAGCGCGCAATTGAGCCGACATTTCCGCTACAAGAGGCACTTCACTGCTGCATAATAACTCTAACACATCAGCTCGTAAAGCGTCTCGGTTCTTGTCTAAGAAACCTTCTACGTTGTACCATACTTGACCGGCGTAGTGTTTTATCTGGAATTGAGATTCGTTTTAAAATTATCTTTAATATTTAAATAAATATTGTTATTATTCTAATTTTTTTTAAGATAGGGAATATAATAAAAGTTTTACGGTCATTTAGAAGTCGAGTCATTTATTTGTACATTTCATAATAATTTTTTTTTTTTATTGACTATCTATCTATACTTATTATAAAAATAAGTCCCCCGGCCGCGTCTTTCTGTCCTCCTGTCTGTCCTCCTGTCTGTCTGTACGCGATAAACTCGAAAACTACTGAACGGATTTTTATACGGTTTTCAACAATAGAAAGAGTAATTCTTGAGGAAGGTTTAGGTATATAATTTATTATGCTTTTATGTAAATTAGCTGAAATACGGCGACAAATGTTGAAGAGGTCGCAAAAAATCTCGCCAAATGGGAACTTTCCACGCGAACGCCGCGTAAACTAGCAAAGATACAGTTAAGTAATGTACTAGAGAATTCAAAATCTATAAAAATGCTACAAAAAAGTCCGCGATAGCATATCTCTATCTCTTACGGTTGACTTACAATAACCACTTTTATGTTAACATTTTTAATTAAAAACATTACGTTATTTTCAAAGTTATTTTCTTTAGTTCGGTATTAATCCTTATCCAAATGAATATTTTAGTTAGCTTAGTCATTTAATGCAGATTAAAATTGCTCTTTACACTAAATCAATCAGATGAATAGTTTTTGAGATATCGTTGTTAGAAGTAATTAGTAGCGAAACATTTTTAATGCTTGGCGAGCATTGAGATGCCTACGGCGAGTCCATCCCCTCTGCCCCGCATCGCTCGACCGCCTGCTCAAGCTATATAAACCGGGCGATGTAGCGCGCGATCCTAGGATACTTTTTACCGCGGGAAAATATCTTATTTCTGAGGAAAAATACAAAAACTGCAATGTAAGAGTATACTAATATGTAACACCTAAGAATTTAGTTTTTGGTCATCTGAACGCGGGCGGAGCCGCGGGCAATGCTAGTAAAGTAATAAAAGGGTATTAATTATCAATTGTTACTATGTAACTAATTGTAAATTCTAAAACAAAACAGAATAATTCGCAAAACAAAACAGAAAATACTCATATGTAAATAAACAGAAATTAATATCAATGTAACAATACTCACTCCAAACTCATTTGCTCCCAACCTCGGCCTAGAATATAGCTCGTTAAGAGCATGATTGTAATGGCACTTTTCTAGGAACGAGGCATCAGAAGCCCGTGGGAAGTTACTCTCATCATCTAACAGGTGCAGAATACCCACTGGCTTCTTACTTAGCAGTTGAATTACTAAAAGAGAAAATGAATTAACAAAAGCAAGCAAATTAAACGTATTTATAGTCAGTAAACTTTTTATACCTGGAGAGTTATCATTCCACGTGAGGTTAGACCATTCCAACCTCTCTTTTTGGTATTCTTGTTGCTCCAATTTAAAAATATGTTTATTAAAATAATGTTGTAGCGTTTCGTTAGCGAAGTTTATACAAAGTTGTTCGAAGGAATTCTCTTCCAAGTCTTCAAAACCGAAGATATCCAGGAGAGATATTCGATGAGCGTCGTGTAATCCAGCGCGGTGGACTATCGAGTTTATTCGGAGGACAAGCCAATTAAATAATGATGAATAAAGTGCTTTCGCGAAAGCGTCTCTTGCATCTAATGCCTGATCTATAGGTAAAGGAGATCGCATTCGTTCAGCTCGCGCGGCTGTAACTCTTGTCGTTAAGGCTCTAGCTAACTCTTCTGCCGGTACTTTAAGTAAATGGGCGGCCCAACGAACTTCCGCCCCACCACCCAATTGGACACCCTCTTGGCCATGCCTTAACTGCCGTCTATGGAAATATACGTTTCCCAAATGAAGGACTGCTGCTAAAACTTTTATTATATCTTCTCTTTCAGAATCTCCAATTCCGAGGACTTGCATTGCACCACATAGCGCAGTCCAGTCAGCACCTGCACCCGCACCCCCTGAATCACCACCTTGATTTAAATAGAAATAATGTTCGGCTGACAATAAGCCTCTAGACTTTCTTTGTTCTTCGTCTAGACCTGCTAGCAATTCATAGAAAACGTGATAGTTTCTCTCGCCAGGCGACTGTGTGACAATGCGTGATTTTTCTAGCAAGTAATGAGCAACTCTTGCACCAGCTAACGCGCCATCTTTAAAATATAATTCCAATAATTTACCAAAACGACTAGAGTTATGATTTTTTGGTGTTCTCGCATTGCCGAAAGCTTCTAGCAACGGCGCTGCTTCAAGTATTTGTTCGGATACGGGTGCTCTTCCAGGCGGTGTGGGAGCCACTGCAGCCAAAAATTGAACCGCTAATTTTGTGGATTCTGTTTTTCCAGCACCCGACTCCCCAGAAATAAGAATAGCTTGAGGATGAGGTAGAGATGCACGAGCCGCCGCTGCTATGGCGAAGAGATGAGGTGGGAGATCTCCTAATGCTTCCGCTGCATGGTACCTACCGGGCAAAACAATGTTTGTTAATGTAACAATATTATTAAAGACAAATCGTTTAAAATCAAATATTTAATAAATATAATGTATAATTAAGATTCCAATAAATTACAAAAATTATAAGTACTGCAAGTATTAAAAATATTCATTACCTTCTAGCAGTTTTTAGGCCGTACAACGTGTCGACAGGTCTATACGGATTAACAGCTACTAAAATTGAACCAGCGTATGTGTAAATAAGACCCTGTTCATATCTCAGTTTCAGGTTCCAAAGCAATGCCGCCTCATGTAAATCGTGAAGACGCGTCATGTCTTCCACGCCGGTGGGTCCAAGCTCCTCGCGGGGCCATACTGGGTCGCCTTCCTCTTCACCATTTCCCATTTGTAACGCGAAGGTTTGAGGCTAAAGGAAAAAGAACAGATATTATTAATTGTTGCTATTTTAAATTATGATACTTAGGCGCAGTGCGAACGTAGCCTGGCAAGCCTCATTCGGCTCAGGATGTTCAAATGTACCGTACATATTTAGATGCATTTCTATATATTTATAGTATCTGACTTAGACTAAACTAATAAGTGCATTTGAATGTTTAAGTAATATTATAAATGTAATAATTTGAGAGTAAAAGAGTAGGTGGCGTATGTTTATGACTTATTACGAATTGATTAACAGCAGAAAAAATTGGATTTGTAGATCTATAAATTATAAAGCTTATTTATGTATGTATTCAGCCAAGCCAAGCCATAGCCCACCAAGTAGACCAAGTGCGAATTGGTGGACTTCACATATCCTTCGAAAGTTTGCTAAGACATGCAGGTTTCTCTAAGGAAAGTGGTAATCAGGTTGAAAATGATTCGCACATAATATCAGAGGTGCGAGACCCTTACTTGGTTTCCCACGCAAGTTTCCACGGGGCCTTTTATAAGCAATAATGGTAAAATTAAACCATGTGTGCATATGCCCCGATTGAATATAGACAAAAATATTTCGTAAGTAACAAAAAATGTAAAATGACCTTCAGTATTATATTTATCTGTCCTGCACTACAAAATTCATTAAGCTGTTTCTAAGAATACCCTGCGCAGACAGCAGGTACATATACAGAGAAAAATATTAACAATCTTTATAGTTTAGTTTGTTAGTCTGTCCTTCATTCACGTAGCGGAGAGCGTCATGATTATTTATGTCATGTTTAATTTACATACACTAATACTTGCCGGCTGAAAGGCTCGCGTTTTTTATTTAATTATTATAATCGCTTCTCTCCTAAGGACCGTAGCACGATATTAGGGAGCCTTCCTTTGTAATCTATACATATAATAAAATTGTAACTAAGCCGAATCTGTACATTAAATTTTTTTTTGAAAATCTTATTGAAATAGACATCACTATCGATACAGAGGCGGAATCTTTAGTTTTTAGAATTTTTGTCTGTCTGTTACCGCATCACAGAAAAGCCATAGGAGGGATTTTGATGAAATTTGGTATGGTGATAGCTGGTTATCCGGGTGAACATATAGGAAACTTTTTACTGCGGGAAAATGTCTCATTTCTGAGAAAAAATACAAAAACTACAATGTAAGAGTATACTAATGTGTAAAACCTAAGAATTTGGTTTTGAGTCATCTGAACGCGAGCGGAGCCGCGGGCAGTGCTAGTCCTTCATAACTACTCAAAGATTACTTCAAATCGAACAGGTAGTTTTTGATTAACACGTTTGAACGAACAGAAATGAAACAAAACGTTATATATTATTATAGATGGACCGGACAGTTATATTCCGGTGTATCAGGTTTCTGTGGATTATTATTATATTACAAAACGTAACTGCGTAAGTTTATGCACGTCGTGTATTTAGAGCCTGAGCGAAGCGTGTTGGCCCCTAATGTGAAATTAAAGTACGTGTTATAAGTATGTATATTGTATTTTATATATATATATATATATATATATATATATATATATATATATATATATATATATATATATATGTATGGTATACAATTTGTATACCTATATAAGTGATTTGATTGTTTGGTCGTAAACTATTCAGAAAATTCAAAGACGCATATTAAATATGCGCTAATATTGTTTTTATATTAATATATATTTGTCTCGCAGGGTTGTGGACAGTGGTGTCGCTGAACAGTAAACATATTAAAATGCCTCTTTTCTGATGTCAATATATTACAAACATATAGAAAGACTAGCGAGCTACCCTCGTTTCGCTCGGGTGCGTCCTAAGTGTGTTTTATTTTTATTGCGCGGAACCCTAATTCTTTTTCTAAAATAAAAGTACCTACCATAAAAATATTATTAAATTACTTCTTACAATATCAGCTATTTGCCAGTGGAAGTCTCGCTAGAATAAATCCAGCCGTTTCGGAGATTAATCGGAACAAACAGACAGACAAAAAATACAAAAGTTGTGTTTTTCTTATAAGTACAGTATATAATTTCATGTACATTTAGTAAAAATATGTATTTTGACATTACAAACAGACACTTCAATTTTATTTTATTAATCTGTATAGATAATGACGATTAGCTTTGCTTGCTGATAGCAAACTAAATTGCAACTAACATCTGTATGAGCAATACAAGAATTCAAACCGTTCGAAGGAGGCACCCGCAACCTCCATCGAATTACAGGCAAAGTTACTCGCATAGACTGGCTTAGTCACATTATGCAACTACGCAGTGCGGCCCTTAAAAGGTATAAGTACGGCGTTAATAATCGTGGCCTATTCTAAGATTGGAACATCCACTGAATTAATTTTTGACTGTATGTCCTCGAATAAATAAATATGTTGTGACATTAACACAACACCATCTAGTTCCATGGTAAGCTACGAGGCCTGTGTTATGGATACCAGATAGTTGATGAGTACAAACATTCGTGCTCATCACACAAATGAATGCCCCAAGCGGGATTCGAACCCACGACCGTTTGCATAGCAAGTTGGGTAACTACTGAGCCAAACGTATCGTCAAAACTCGAATTACTAAAGTATAGTACCAAAAATAATTACTAATATGATTAGCATTTTTAATAAAAACAAAATAATATATAATACCTACTGACTTAGTTCAAGATATAATGAAACACTGGCACGGAACTTCAGCCAGATGGAAAATTATTACGCCCCGTACTTGTATGACATAATATAATGACTACAATCGTATCAGACCATCAAGCTTTCAGACTCGAAACCATTCTAATTTTACATTCCAATGCTTACTGCCTTCCTCTATTACACCACTGGTATATAAAAAAGGTGATGGATTCGTTACAAATAAATGCGGTCGTGTATAATTTGCAGACGTCGCGTGATACTAAGTCAAGTGAATCAGTATGCATTGCTACTTCATTATCTATACTGTTAAGTGACCCTTATTTGTTGCGTTGATATTATATATCTAACTCACTATAACCTCTAATATATACAAGTGACTCATTCCAATGTTGCGTTTTAAACGATTAAGTTATGAATAATTTAGATGTATAAATATAATATTCACGGCATCTTGTTTTTTACATATCTATATATATAAAAGAAAGTCGTGTTAGTTACTTCGCTTATAACTCAAGAACGGCTGAACCGATTTAGCTGAAAATTGGCAGGGAGGTAGTTTAGAGCCAGGAGAAGGACATAGGATACTTTTTATCCCGTTCGACCGCGTTCCAATTTTTATGATATTTTAATTTTTGGATTTCTCTTAGTCCGGAATAGGTAAGTATTAAAACATATAATTAAAATGTGAGAAAGAAAGATTTTTTCTTTTTATATCTATTTAAAACGTACCTAGCGACGAACCCGAGCGAAGCGAGGGTGAGCCGCTAGTTATCCATATTTTATTTCTTAACTGATACACGTTTGTAAAATTTTAGTTAAGTACTAAATAATTATAAAAAGTTGTTATAAGTTAGACTTTCGATTTTTTTAAATGTTTTTAAAAAATAAGCATATCAATAAAATACATTTTTAAAACGGTGTTCACTCCTAGTTTTATCTAAATAACTTCTATCCGAAGATTTGTAGTGTACCTATACCTACTAATAAAAATGTAAATGATTAAAAATTTGCTAAGTTTCATTTCTGCCCATTATATGCTTCTATAGTATACTAGCATTGCCCGCGGCTCCGCCCGCGTTCAGATGAACAAAAAGAAAATTCTTAGGTTTTACATATTAGTATACTCTTACATTGCAGTTTTTGTATTTTTTCTCATTCTTCTCATGAGATATTTTCCCGCGGTAAAAAGTATCCTATACGAGTATGTTGACCCGGATAATCAGCTATTATCATACTAAATTTCATTAAAATCCCTCCAGTATTAGTTTTTCTGTGATGCGGTAACAGACAGACAGATAGACAAAAATTCTAAAAACTAAAGATTCGGCCTCTGTATCGATAATAATGTTTATTTCAATAAAATTTTCCAAAAAATATTTAATGTACAGATTCGGCTTAGTTACAATTTTATTATATGTATGGATAGATAAATATTTGTATACGGAATGAGCTCACAGTTCTTCATCCTCATATACAAAAGGAGCGCTATCGAGGTATAATAGTTGCAGTCTTAATATAAATACACACTTTAAAGGTAGAGTCACACAAACTTTATAGGTGGAAACTTTGCTGGTGTGTGGATGTTTTAGTTTGTAATTATTTTTAAGAATTATCTCACTGTTTGTTTCCCAAAAAATAATAAATAAATAAATAAATAATAATCGTATTGAATAAAAAACCAGTTAATTAGTATGTCATAAAGAAAATAATATAATAAAAACATACATTTTGTATAAGAATTTTCATGCATAATTCCTTTAAAAGTGGAACTGACATGGGCCGTCTTTTCTTTGTTGCAGATTTTATATTAGAAGTCTTCTTCAAAATTGAGTTCATCATAATTTCTCCCCTCTGTCGCTTAATTTCACCTGGCAAAGTATAATCTGATGACGGTTCAAATATCCATGGTTCCGGAGAGTCGCATGGAGTGGGTGCGAAATGAACACGCATCTACTAGATGTGTTTTTGAGTAGATCTTCATATATTAACCGAATGCCAATCGGTTGATTACGTCGTAATTCATTGCTTTCTTTTTGCTTCTCTAGCAACTAATATTGTCACTTTTTCACATCACACAGCGATTTATGTCAATTTGTTCTGCAATCTTTACGAGAACATTTCACTAGCAAATACATTATTCATCTTCATTATATCGTTGTACACGTTACTTGAATATATAATAATAATATTTTTCAAGCACTTATTTATAAGATTATCACGCAACATTTTATCTTGTATATATTATATTATATAAATTTATTTATACATAATATATGTAAATGTTCGTTCAATTAAGAAAAATATTTAGAATCACTGCATTTTTTAAATTTACTAACAAATAACCGTGTATTCCACGAACACTGAGAGCTTCTAACGTCTAACTGGTCCACATCTAGATGTTACCAACAGTTACGGGCTCAGGATAACGGCACCCGTCCTGGCCAGGGATTAAGTGTTACGAGAGATAAATGACGAAGTCGAAATAACGTACGCTAGCGGAATTCACTTGAGCGAGCGCGATGCAGCACACTAACTTAAAAAATGTCTTAGTTAATAAAAATTATATAATTATAATGTAGTTTTAGTAAAAGTAAAGTGAATGCAGAATATATTATTTAGATGTTCTCAAAATTGATACAATAAACAAATAATGGCCACATGTTACTGTTACTGTTGTTATTAAGCTTACGCAAAACCTAGTGACATGATTAATTGAAGTTTTCATTTCTTTTTTTATTATAAGTATACTAGCAGAACCCGCGGCTTCGCTCGCGCTAAAACTAAAAAAAATACTCTAAAAAGGTAGGTTTCGTACAAACTTTTATCGCCTATGTTATACCCTTGTCGAATGAATTTCGAAAAATGCTAAATCACGTATTTATTTTATTGTATTAAAGAGCATTAATACCAAGTTTCAAGTAATTCTGATCATAAATATTTTTTGGGTTGTATTATAACGTATTTTTCCGTGGGAATTAGATAATATCCCGCGGTAAAAAGTAGCCTATGTCACTCTCCAGCCCTCCAACTATCTCCACACAAAAATCACGCCAATCCATCACTCCGTTTCGACGTGAAAGAAGGACAAACAAACACATTTTCACATTTATAATATTAGTATGGATTTATATAGATATTTGAGCCGTATAGTTAAGAATTATAATTATCTTTATCTACTTATAAATAAAATTATTATGTCAATAACAAAAGGTATAACTCGCACTAACGTTATTTAATTATGTATAAGGAACCTGTTTTTTTACTAATAGTAGCTGTAGTTCTTAGTGGTTAAAAAAATGTTGTTAGTAGCTTGATACAGTCGAAGAATTAGAAAAAAGTAGAGACAAGCGGTTATAGCGCGCAGAATATGTCAGTCAACTCTCTATCAACATTCCGATACACGGCCTTGCGTTACGCGCCCGAATGCTTACGCTTAGGCCGTACTTACATCAAACATTATTTACGTTTAATATTAGCAGAACCCGCGGCTTCGCTCGCGCTAAAACTACAAAAATATCTCTAAAAAGGTCGGTTTCATACAAACTTGTATCGTCTATTTTACCCCCTTATAGGATGAATTTCGAAAAATGCTAAAACACGTGTTTATTAATTTTTACTGAAGAGTATTAATACCAAGTTTCAAGTAATTCTGATCACAAATACTTATATACTTATATATTAGTATTATTAAACGTGAAATAATTTAATTAGGTTATTTTATTACTAGAGATCATTGTTTTTAACTAAGTATAGACATTATTTTTAAATACTATTAAATGAATGAATTATAGGTGAGTCATTACTTGATCAACTGAAAACACTTCAAATTAATCTATTCATTGATATAATCTGTTCTCTAGATAGGTATGTTTAGGTATACCCGATTGGGTTTTTCTCTAACAACTTTAAACACGTATGCAACACGTTTCATTTAATGAGATGACTACATAGTTTTTCTAATTTTTCTACGCAAATAAGAATAAATTGTACAATTTAGTTAGGTCAAATGCGTGTAGGTATCGCATTATGAAAATTAAAATAGAATTCGAAAAAACACTTAAACAAACGTCCAATAGATACGGAGAAAATACAGTGTAATGGTCACACAAACACTACCTTTAAATATAGAACCCTAAAACTGCTTAGCAGTAGTTGTTTTACGCCGTATTTCCGAGTGGTTTATGAAATGATTAACCGTCTAGTATTAGTCTATATTCAAAGAAAATTACCAGTACAATACTGCTCTTTTACTGCTTTGACTTGCATATTTTTGGCGTTTTTTATTTGAACTATTTATTTCTTATAATAACAATAAAATATAAATAATAATTTATTACCTGTCCATTAACTACGGCGCTAACTAACAACACCCTCGCGGCACGGTGCACCTCGACCAGCTCGCCGGGTAGAGGCGCGGGGGCGCCGGCCGGCTGGAACCACACCGACGCGCCCTCCGACCACTCCGCGAGCCCCCCGGAACCCGCCATGCTGCATAGATACAAAATATAATTAGGTTTTTATTTATTGTATAAAATTAAAACATCTATTTTTTAAAATATTCTTCAACTAAGTAGCAATAACTATTTTTGTTATGATAACAAATCATAAATAATATAATAATAAATCAAAAGTATTTTTAAATTAAAAAAACAAAATACTTCGAACAAAACAAAATATTTCACACGAAAAACATACTTCCGAATCGTATTTGCACGATTTTTTTTCTAATAGATTTTTATTTAATTGTGTTTTTTTATAATATTCAAAATTTATAGCAATTTATTACTAGCTTATTTATTTATTTAAACATGAAACGCACTTTTGACTACTTAAAAATATACTGATAAATAAAATATCATAAAATATTTTTAGGTACTTACTTATAGGGAAACGATTAAATAAAAAAATGATTTGAATAGATATTATTTAAAATTAACGCAATAAATAGATAAACAGTCGGATGTACATATCTATTCAATTTGTAATGAATGTGATTTATGATCCGGATCAAATGTAGTAATAATATATTACGTAACGTGGCAACTGTGTAATGAACATAATCACGTAATGACTATTAATTTGTTTGCGTGACAGGTTATGAATATGCTTTTAACTTCATTTTCATCTTAATTTTAAAACTACTCTTCTACCTTCAGGTTCTCTATTGTTATATTATTATTACATGTCATATTGTGCTATCATATTTTTAACTTACTTATTATTTACTTCTGTAAAAATAATTTATATAATAAATTAGGTTGGCCAACAATATGTCTAACCATACAAAAGTATGTAAAAAAGTTTTTTGTTTGTATGGCGTTTGTCTTAACAAAATAGATCGTTCGTTTTCGTTCAACCATTCGTTGAATTGTAATAGTAGTTTCTATTTATAGTAAGGAATAATAAAGAAAAATCAAAAGTAACAATATTTATAACAATAGTTTATTTATAGGGTTACATTTTTATCTTATTTACTATATTTATATATAAATATCCAATTAGGTAAACATTATAATTTAAAAATATTATAATATTACAAGTATATTGGCGCAGCTAGCGCTGTCGCGGGAAACCCGCATCCACATGTAGGAGCTGACGAGCAACAAGTTGGGGAGAAACAAATAGGTGGCGGAGGCGGGGGTTGGAGGCAGAACGGCTCTGGTGGAGGAGGTTGAATGCAGAGCGGCGGCGGAGGAGGCGGCTGCACGCAGATAGGAGGCAATGGGGGAGGCTGGATGCTTATTGGTGCTGGAGCTGGCGGTTGCACGTAGATCGGCTCGGGGCACGGAGGCTGGATTGTCATAGGACACGGTGGTGGCGGTTGAATGTACATTGGGGGCGGTGGGGGTGGTTGAATCATTAGTGGAGGGGACGGCGGGGGTTGTACTGGCATAGGCGGCAGCGGTGGCGGCTGAACCATCACAGGTGGCAATGGCGGCGGTTGCACCATAATCGGAGGAAGTTCAATCATTATTGGGGGAGGAAGTGGAAGTTCAATTAAAATTGGTGGAGGAGTGGGTGGATTAACGTACATTGGAGGTGGTGGTGGTGGTGTCACGCACATCGGTGGTAGCGGTGGTGGGTTTACACAAAGTGGTGGCGATGGTGGTGGCGTAAAAGTTATAGGGGGTAATGGTGGAGGAGTAATACATAATGGGGGTAATGCCGGGGGTGTGACAGTAATAGGAGGGGGTAACGGCACTTCTATGAATAATGGGGGTAAAGGAGGTGGAGTAACATACATAGGAGGAGGTGAAGGGAGAGATACATATATAGGTGGCGAGGGTGGCGCTGTGAGGGCTATCGGTGGTGAAGGACAACAGCCACATGGGTATGATGACGACCCGACGAGAAGTGATGAGTATGGAGATGCATAATACTGGCCCTGAACTGTTGACTGTAAAATAAATAAGAGAAGAAATGTACTCATACTTAAAAATTCTCTCGTAATCTTTTCAGATAGCATAAGATAAATTAAACTATCTGCGATAAGCCGATCTTGGTTTTTTATTCTTACCACCTCATATAGTTTATAAAGAAAATCCAACTGCGAGTGCCTACATACACGAATTAGCTAACTTATTATCAATTGTTTAATATATCCTGAAATTATTATGTAGATATTACAAAAAACTTTTTTTTTATTGGTGAGAAATATTTTGAATATTATGTATTTTTTCTTCCAAACACTAATTATGTTTTTGAACTTTGTTCTTGTTCTGTTCTCAATTTAAGTCTACTCTAGAAGAACGTTTATTATTTACATAAACTTCAACAATAGAAAAGGGAAAAATACTCACACAAGCTAGGGCCGCCAACAGTATAGTTCTTGCCACCTCCATTGGTGACCAATTTATTGTTTCTTGTCCCAGTATACGATTATTATATACTGACACATTACTCCAGCATTTCATATGAAATATGAAACAATGCTTTACAAATAATTATCGGAAAGCATCAACGGTTTAAAGTTGCATACTTTATCGAAATTGCAAGTAAGCAAAACAAGATAAACCACGTAAGGTAAGTACTATGTAAAACGTAAAGAAATCTATGATAACACGCTTATTATTGTAATTTATCTAGGTAATATGTCGTCAAACGATCAAAAAACGAAAAGTTAAGTAACTAGGTGAAAATAAATGTTTATAAGTAACATATTACGTTTTATTTGATTTAGTTGATGCGTTTTTAAATATAAATATATTGGGACATTAACACATAGTACCATCTAATTCCATGGGAAGCTACGAGGCTTGTGTTATGGATACCACATTCTAGGCACATTTACATCACATATATATATCGCTCTTGTCGTAGACATGTTACTGTATATTATCTAATATACATTATATACTGATTTAACAACTAAAAGATTTCAATATTGTGTTACAAAGTATCAACACAACATTTTGACGACACGTTTGGCTCAGTTGGTAGTGACCCTACTTGCTGTGCCAGCGGTCGCGGGTTCGAGTCCCGCTGGGGGCATTCATTTGTGTAATGAGCACGAACGTTTGTAATCCAGTCATGTGGTTTAATATTTATAATAAGTATGTATTTAAAGTTATATTAAGGTATACAACTTTGCTCCCGCCGTTTTTTTAAAGATGGCGCTAGCGACAATTAGACGTCGAGTACATACATTATGGATGACTTAAAATACTCTTTAGTATCTTGTGAACATAACCTGATAGCAACAGTAGTTGATTTGTGTTTACATCATATAGTTATTCTCGAATAAAAATGTCAACTTATGAGCCGAATTTTCGTCATTTGCGGGAAGTGTTAATTTATTTTTTTAATATTAAAAAATCTGCGACTGAGGCTCACCAAATGCTCTCAGACGCTTATGGTGAAGTTCCTATAAGTGAAAGAATATGTTGCGAGTGGTTTCAATGCTTCAAGAGCGGTGATTTTTCCGTAGAAAACCGGCATAGTGGTGGAAGATCAAAAGTTTTTGAAGATGAAGAATTAGAGCATTTGCTCATTGAAGATTCGTGTCAAAGTCAAGAGGAGTTGGCAAGATCATTGCAAGTGAGTCAAAAAACAATTTAAAAATGCCTAAACAATCTGGAAATGATCCAGAAGCAAGGATATTGTGTGTCATACGACTTGAAGCGTAGAGATGTTGAACGACGTTTCTGTATTAGTGAACTTCTGCTTGAAAGGCAAAAACGGAAACGATTTTTGCATCGCATTGTGACTGTGACGAAAAATGGGTTATTACGATAACCCCAAGCGCCGAAAATCATGAGGATATCCCGGCCAAGCTTCTGCGCTTACGGCTAAACCGAATGTTCACGGCTTCAAGGTCATGATCTGTATTTGGTGGGACCAGCTCGGTGTAATATATTATAAGCTGTTAAAACCGTCTGAAACAATCACAAGAGATCTTTATCAAACGCAATTAATGCGTTTAAGCCGAGCATTGAAAGAAAAACGGCCGAAATCCTTTGAAAGACATGATAAAGTAATTTTGCAACGTGACAACGCTCGGGTTGTAAAAGTTGTCAAAACATACTTAGAAAAGTTGAAATAGGAAGTCTTACCCCACCCGTCGTATTCTCCAGACGTTGCTCCCTCTAACAATCACCTATTCCGATCCATGGCACACGGCCTGACGGACTAGTACTTTCAGTCTTATGAAGAAGTCCAAAATTGGATCGATTCATAGATCGCTTCAAAAGATGACCAGTTTTTTTCAACACGGGATCCGATTGTTGCCAGAAAGGTGGACAAAAGTAGTAGAAAACAATGGACGATACTTTGAAACATAAATGTATAATCAGTTTTTTTACAATAAAGCTTTGAATTTTGAAAAAAAACGGCGGAAGCAAAGTTGTATACCTAAAACTAGATGGCGCTGTGTGTTAATGTCCCAACATTTATTTATTTATTTATTTATTTATTATTTATTAGTTACCCACAACGCTTAAAATCAGAGCAACCAGAGACTGAAGTTTGACATGCCTTTGGCATTTTAATAATGTTGCAATATTAAGAATTATTAAGAAAAGTCCAGGACACACTTTCGTTAACCAGAATCTAGATGTATGGACTACGGATGTTTGTTTCTCTTTAACGCAAAAGCTACTGAATGGATTTTAATGAAACTTTACATATTATATGAGCTGATGTTATGAACTATATCATTATATTGCTCATACGTCAGAATAACACATAGGCTACTTTTTATCCCGTAAAATATACGGTCCCCGTGGTAGAGATCTGTTCCTGGTTTTTTAGAGGGGAACCCGAGCGAAGCAAGGGTGAGCCGTTAGTGTACATACATATACAATACAACACTGATTATTTAGATAAGAAAGTGAAATCGTATATAACTTTAAAGTTATAGATTCTTAACTTCAAACAAATGAAAGAAACAAATATTTATAAAATTTCCAAAACATATAAATTAAGTTTACATATTTAAAAAATCGACTGTACTTATATTCATGACATTAAGTAGAAAAAGTATATTTAATGATTTATCCTTCGATCAATAGTAGTATTGTTGATCGAAGGATTTATTGCATTTATAAGCCGTGTTTGCGCACTAATATATTCTCCGGTTCTTACATAATTTTATTATTCAGTAAGTAGTAAGATACTGAAAGTGAAATTTGCTAATTCAAAAAAAAAATTGACTGACAGTTATGTTTTTCATTAAATTTAATATTTTAATTTAAATAATTTAAAACGGTTTGAGTAAAATTGTTTGAATAAAGATGTAGTTAAATTCAGTCTCTTAAAAATGAATTGAATATGTTAAATATATACCAAATTCCGTACCGACTTTCAATTTTACGTAAAGTTTAAAAATGCGGGACGCATTTTACTTTATTTATGAGATCGACTCTCTCGTTGACCTTAGCATCGTTAATAACATAAAATCATCTTCGTTCTTAATAATTCCATAACGACCTAAAAAGAGTTCATTGAATCCGGTAAACAATCGTGCGGAGACGTTTCCGTCCGGACAAGTGGAACTGACCGCGCTTTAAATGAATACCAATAACTATTATACGACACATACAACTGCTAAAATTCAACATAAGATTTGATATAAGTGTGTGGTCTTTTTGATTTAGTCGGGTTATAATTGCATTTGTATGCGACGTGAGTAAAAAAGGCTTTCCAAACGCACGTACGCAGCGTTCAGAATAGGCTATGTGAACTTGGCACCCGACTTTGGAAAAATTGTTCTTTTTTAGGTTTATTTGAACGATTTCGGTTAGTAGTAGATAGTAGTGAAGCTAACTTCGTTTGTAGTAGTGTCAAAAAAAAATACAGACAACAAAAAAAATGTCATCCCCCGAAGTTGGTAAAAAAAATTTTTTTCGCTTGATTCGTATAGAAAAACGTTAGTAGTGGTTTGTAGTGCAATTTTTTTCGTTTGTAGTAAAACAAAAAAAAAATTTTTTTTCGAGTATTTTTCCAGAACGATTTTTACTACATACATTCATTGTTTCGTTTGTAGTACCATTATTTCATTTGTAGTAACGTTAATTTTGGTTTGTAGTACCATTACTTCGTTTGAAGTAACGTTAATTTCGTTTGTAGTACCATTATTTCGATTGTAGCTGTTTGTAGTAACGTTAATTTCGTTTATAGTACCATTATTTCGTTTGTAGTTGTTTGTAGTAACGTTAATTTCGTTTGTAGTACCATTTTTTTGTTTGTAGTACCATTGTTACGTTTGTAGTACCATTAATTCGTTTGTAGTACCATTATTTCGTTTGTAGTACCATCATTTCGATTGTAGCTGTTTGTAGTAACGTTCATTTCGTTTGTAGTACAATTATTTCGTTTGTAGTTGTTTGTAGTAACGTTAATTTTGTTTGTAGTACCATTGTTTCGTTTGTAGTAACGTTAATTTCGTTTGTAGTACCATTATTTCGTTTGTAGTTGTTTGTAGTAACCTTGATTTCGTTTGTAGTACCATTATTTCGTTTGTAGTTGTTTGTAGTAACGTTAATTTTATTTGTAGTACCTTTGTTTCGTTTGTAGTAACGTTAATTTCGTTTGTAGTACCATTATTTCGTTTGTAGTTGTTTGTAGTAACGTTAATTTCGTTTGCAGTACCATTATTTCGTTTGTAGTACCATTACTTCGTTTGTAGTACCATTATTTCGTTTGTAGTAACGTAAATTTCGTTTGTAGTACCATTGTTACGTTTGTAGTACCATTGTTTCGTTTGTAGTACCATCATTTCGATTGTAGCTGTTTGTAGTAACGTTAATTTCGTTTGTAGTACCATTATTTCGTTTGTAGTTGTTTGTAGTAACGTTAATTTTGTTTGTAGTACCTTTGTTTCGTTTGTAGTAACGTTAATTTCGTTTGTAGTACCATTATTTCGTTTGTAGTTGTTTGTAGTAACGTTAATTTTGTTTGTAGTACCATTGTTTCGTTTGTAGTAACGTTAATTTCGTTTGTAGTACCATTATTTCGTTTGTAGTTGTTTGTAGTAACCTTGATTTCGTTTGTAGTACCATTATTTCGTTTGTAGTTGTTTGTAGTAACGTTAAATTTGTTTGTAGTACCTTTGTTTCGTTTGTAGTAACGTTAATTTCGTTTGTAGTACCATTATTTCGTTTGTAGTTGTTTGTAGTAACGTTAATTTCGTTTGCAGTACCATTATTTCGTTTGTAGTACCATTACTTCGTTTGTAGCTGTTTGTAGTAATGTTAATTTCGTTTGTAGTACCATTATTTCGTTTGTAGTTGTTTGTAGTAACGTTAATTTCGTTTGTAGTACCATTATTTTGTTTGTAGTAACGTAAATTTCATTTGTAGTACCATTGTTACGTTTGTAGTACCATTGTTTCGTTTGTAGTACC